TTCAAACCACATTAAAATTAGATGGAAGAGATCAATAGCAGAGACCAGGCTGGGTAAAATACATTTAGTAAGACAAAGTCCTCCTGTTGTCCCAGAGAGTCCATTTCAGCTTCGTATGGGTGGACTATGGCAGGAGATGTTAGTGAGATGGGCAGCCTGCCTTTGGGTTCATAGCTGCAGAAAACACTGCCCGCAGAGTGAAGACAGTGAAATGGCACAAACCCAACAAGAGCTTTCTAAAGCTGAAATTGATCTCAGCTCTGGGCTTAGGAGTTTTATATGGAGACTCAGAGCAAGGCAGGTATAGATGCCCTTGAAATCTAGAGAAACCCTGCCAGAGCACACCGTCTCCTGGGACGCGGGTGCACGGGACTACTGAAGGAGCTTCCAGCACAGCAACCTCATGTGTGCGATACCTGGGTGGCTGGCTGCCACCTCCATCTCTGCTTACCACCTCTGCTGGATGTTGGGGGCCTGGAGGTGATGTGCTGGGACAGAAGGCAGGGGTAAGGATATCTTTCGGATCCTGGCTGGAGGAGGAGTGTAGGAGTAGGAAGATGACTTTATAATTGCTTTTTTTTATCACTCTTTCTGACTATATTGACTTTATACTTGACACAGCTTTGGCTGGCAAGTGAGGCCCAGATACATTCAGAATTAGATATGACTGGGCTCATTCTTACATGAGAAGAAAATCATCGGTTGCTACAGAAACAGCTCCATATCAGTCTCGTGGGGCATCTTTGCATCTGGCTTTTTTTCCTTCTCTTTGCTAATCTGTAGATAAGAGTCAAAGCAAGTGCAGCACATCCCGCATCTATATAAAAGGTTGGAGGAACTCTGCAGAGAGCAAAGTGTGAAAGAACATCTCGTAGATAAGCTAAACTTAAATGAATGAGTTAATTTGCATTCCCCTACAATTTTTTTTTCTAGTTTTGCAACTCTCACTCAGTTAATTGAGGTGAAAATTAAATGACACCAGTCAGTAAATATTTTAAAGACCACCAACATCAAGGAAGAGAAAGGAGGTACTCAGAAAGGGAGTTACTAAGAAAAATTTAGGAAATGATCCGAGGGGCCAGTTAGAATCTCTGTTGAGAAAATTGCATATTGCAATGGAATAATAATCCAGACTCACTTTCAGGCAAGTTGTTTAACTTGCTAAATTAAGGAATTAGTTAAAAATAAGTATATATGATAGGTGAACAGGGACCGTTCTGCACACTTCAGACCAGCTCACCAGCCGGGTTTTTCAACTGGTTTTCTAAAACGTAATGAATTCTTGATGCTTAATAGATTAATATTTATTGAGTGAATCAATGCTTAATTTATTAAAAATTTCCCTTCCTTGTATTTTAATATGATTTATTACTCATCAGTGCTTCTTGCATTAATTAAAGATTGTGTTAATTTTGTGGAACTGAACATGATCTGCTGCAGGTTTGCTGCAGAGCCCTAATGCACAGTAGGGACTGTGCCTCTGGGTAGTACCAACGATAGAAAACTGCACGAGGTGGGAAGCCGGTATGAATCGCCAGTGGCCTCTTCCTGCCTTTGGGCTTTCAAATAGCCAGCAAAGTGAAAATGAAGATGCTGCCCCTTAAAGGGTAGGACAGGATTATAGCAGTAGAGATACTATGGTGATACAGGAAATCTTTCGGTTTGCCTCTTATAAATTATGGCTGATGCTGTGGAAATCATTTTAGTGATTCTCATGGAATGCCTTTTTGTCAACGTAGGTGAAATCCAGTCTTAGCGATATGGGAAACTGTCACCTCTCGTCCAACCAGGGATGATAGTCATTACATTTCAGTGCTCAGGTTGTAAGTAATTCTTGGGACAGTAGGCTGCCTGAAGATTGGGATAGTCCCAAGCATCTCTGCAGGGGCAGGTGCTTGAGAAGTGGAAAATTACTAAAGGCAGAACAAAAAAAGCCAGACATCTTGTGAGATGAGTCTTTCAAGAAATCTGTCAAAACAGGGAGAGGGTGATCATGCTGGAGGGGGGCAACAGCTGCAATTTGCATCTTTCAGCACTGAAGGGAGAAGCAAATATATAAAGCCCCACAGCCATGATACTTCTGATGCAATTATTTTATTAATCTTTGTGACACTTGTAATGTCTCTCTCTCTAAATTAAAATTCTACTGCTTTTAAAGCTACTCATAAGTGTGTCTGTATGTTTTTTAAAAAAATCCATCTAGTTACTAGACTGCTTGCATCCAGCTGAGCCCTGGAAACGGCAGAGAGCTAGCCTCTGAGACCTGAGAGCAGGCCTGAATTTCTGGAAAGTGATTGGATCCGTAATTGGTGCATTTTTGCATGTTTAAATGCATGATTCTAGAATACACTTTGCTGCTTCCTCCTCTCCAGGGCTTGGGTGAGTGTGCACAAACTTCCCTTGCTGAGCTAAATTAGAGAAACCTCTTCAAGGTCCGCTGAAGGTCAGAGCAGTGAAATTTTTTCTCTCTCAGTGCACTGGTCAGACAGTAACCACCGTGCTCCAGCCCGGAGCATTTGGGTGGAGCCAGTGCCAAAAACTTGGTGGCATTTCAAATCCCTTGCAGCAGTTAGGTGTTAGATGCAAAAGATCAGTGCTGCTCCACTTGAAGTCAGAGAAATAACTTGTGCTTAAAGTTCAACACAGACACAAAGATTTCCTGGGTCTGGAATTAATAAGTTTTTTCCAAGGCCAGCTTGAAGGCAATGTCCAAACAGGAAAGAAGCTACAAACTGAACATTTGACTTGTAATAATTTCTTTTTATTTCCCATTTTGTTAGCCTACTTTGTTTTCCTCCAGTATCAAGTTAAACTATTTAGGTTTTTATTTAATGTTTATTTTTACCCTAGTTAATAGACTCAAGTCAGGACCACGAGCCAGTTGGGCTACATGCCTTTCCCTCTATTCCAGGTCTCTACATTTTGCAACCTTCTTTCACACAGGATATTTATATTCCACCTTTTTTCCCAGTAGAGAAGCTTTCACAGAGTATAGGCTTTGGATATATATTTTCTGCTCTAGCTGTTCATTAGATATACAGCATTTGGAGTTCCGGTTGTGCTGAGAAATGTAAGCAAAGCTTTTGGCCCAGTGGGTGCTAAGCCCTGGCATTTCATAGCTTTATATATGAATCAGGATTAAGGCACAGGATCTATAACGAATTTAGCTCATTAGGAAATGTTCCATCTTATGGCTCCCACTGGGGAGGCGGGTCCTCTGCTTACACTATTGCTTACTTTGCTTTATTGCTCCCTGGGAAAGGAGGGTGGGGTGAGCAGACCCCAGCAGAGTAGGGACAGCATTCCTGAATGGTTCTTGCGGAGGTGACACAAGGCAGCAGCAGGGTCTTCTGCTCCCTTTTACAATTACCCTGGCACTCCTGGAAAAAGGCTTGGCATAGGCTTGCCTTAGTATTTGATAACAAAGCAAATGTGATCAAGCACACCGCTAAGGTCATACTCAGAACGACTTGTCAGAGTTAAGAGAACAGGAGTACCTATGAAAGCAGACAGGAATGGGTTTTGTCACAAATATGATTTGCGTTGTACAAGAGTTGAGGTACTGAACGCCAGGAAGGATTTCAGAAAATGTGTTTTTTCAGCCTGACACCCCACTCAGCTTCCCAGTAGGCCACATTCACTGTTGGGCATATAGCTCAAGTATATTCAGTGGATGATCAACTGTGTCCATAGCCAGTGAAGCTTTACTTACAGAGAAATGATAGGCTTGGAAAGGAGTTTCATCAGTCATAAT